TATGGCTCAAGCGGTAACACGCTCGACCGGGTTGGATCCTCAGCACCACATACAAACAAAGATGTTGTGTCCGCCGAAAAAACTAAAAAATAAATAAAATTCTCTCTCTCTCTCTCTCTCTCTCTCTCTCTCACTCTCTCTCTCTTTCTCTCTCTCTTTAAAAAAATAAAAATAAAAAAATAAAATGTATCCTTCTATTAAAAAAATTTTTAAAAAAGTACTTACTTAGGGTATTTCACTTACAAAGTAAAACTTCATAAAAATCAGCAATCATACCTGGGTGTGGTGGCACATGCCTATAATCCCATCAGCTCAGGAGGCCAAGGCAGGAGGATCACAAGTTCAAAGGCAGCCTCAGCAATCTAGCAAGGCCCTAAGCAACTCAGGGAGACCCTGTTTCTAATTAAAATACAAAAAAGGGCTGGGGATGTGGCTCCATGGTTGAGTGCCCCTGGGTTCAATCTCCAGTACCTATCCCCCAAATAGCAATCATCATCCATTTTTTACACATAATTTATTTACTTTATATTTTGATTTATCTGAAGTCTTTATTTCAACAAGAAAACAAACACTAAAGCTAGTGTGGTGGCACAGACAGGAAGTAGATTTCTGGTGGGTCAGTTTTGCAATGTTCTGTTCACTCTGGAAGCCCAGACTACAGTGCTTCTCTGGCCTATCCAACAATTTTGTAAGTTAACTTCCTGCATAAAATCCCTTTTTGCTTAAAGGAACTAAAATTGCTTCTGTTACCTCCAAGTTCTCTAAAGCACACACTACTTACTGAATGAGCAGTTTGTCATAAATGGTATAAATATTTTCCTGGTTTTTCTTTTAACCTTGTTTGTGATGTTTTATATAGAGTAAATTTATTTGTTTATTTATTTATTTGTACTGGGGATTGAACTCAGGGCATTCAACCACTAAGCCACATCCACAGCCCTATTTTATATTCTATTTAGAAACAGGATCTCACTGAGTTGCTTAGCGCCTCACCATTGCTGAGGCTGGCTTTGAACTCATGATCCTCCTGCCTCAGCCTCCCGAGCCGATGATATTACAGGTATTTACCACCATGCCCAGCTAATTTTATTGAGTAAATCTGTAAGTATTTTCCTTTATGGCTGTTACTCATGTAGCTTAAGACTTTAAAAAAATTTTTTTTAGTTGTTGATGGACCTTTATTTTATTTGCTTATTTAGATGTGGTGCTGGGAATCGAACTCGTGCCCCACACATACAAGGCAAGCACTCTACCCCAGAGCTACAACTCCAGCCCCAAGTTTAAGACATTTTTACCTCCAGGAAAATATTTTCTTATGTCACATTCTAGTTCTTTTAAATTTTTGTTTTTAATATAGCTGTTTAATCAGAAGAGAACTCCTTCAAAATACTGATGTTAAACCTACATATTTAACAATATGCATGTTTGTCCTTTCCTTCTTCCCTTCTGACCTGTCTGAAGTTAATCCCTTCACTTGTGCTCTTGCTCTCATTCTTTCCTCCTATTTCCTGGAAGTAGATAAGACTTCCTAATTTGAGTGAGTGTAAGGAAGAGATCATTTCTCAGCCTGTTACAGTTTGGATATTAGGTATCCCCCAAAAGCTCATGTGTGAAACAATGCAAGAAAGTTCAGAGGTGAAATTATTGGGTTATGAGAACATTATCTAATCAGTATATTGATCCCCTGATAGGGATTAATTGGGTGGTAACTATAGGCAGGGTGGAGGAGATGGGTCTTTGGGAGGATTCCTTTGAATATATATTTGTCCCTGGAGAGTGGAACTCTCTCTGTGCTTCTTGGGGGTCTTGTTCAGACATGCTTTCCTCTGTTACAATCTTCCACCTTGATGTTCTAAGTTATCTTGGGCCCAGAGCAATGGAGTTGGCTATCATGGAGTGAGACTCTGAAACTGTGAGCCCCCTAAATAAACTTTTCTTCAAGTCTTTTGGTCACAACAGTGAGAAAAAGCTGACTAAAACATAGCCTTTTGACTGAGATCAAATGAGTATAAGGAAGAAGCCTGAGGAATTTGAATAAGTCACTGTGGAGAACTGACTCAAAAAGGAAACTGATTTGGAATAAGGTTTTCTGAGCAGGGATACTGGTCCGAATGGTTATGGTATTTTCTTCCACAGCACTTTGAAGTGCACCAAGGCAAGGGGTTTCCAAGAAAGAAAATGAGAAATGGGCACCAGCACTGGCAGGAGAGTTGTTGAAATGAAAGACCGTGGAATTTAAACTGGACAGGAGGGGCTGGGGTTGTGGCTCAGTGGTAGAGCGCTCGCCTAGCACGTGTGAGGCCCTGGGTTTGATCCTCAGTACCATATAAAAATAAATAAGTAAAATAAAGGTATTGTGTCCAACTAAAAAATAAATACTTTAAAAAAATAAACTGGACAGGAAAGGAGGTGAAGACAGAATGGAGGAGAAATAATTAGGAGAAAATTAAGAGTTAAGCAGATAGAATGTCTCATGGGGGTCCAGGAATAGTGAGATATAAGTAAACGAGAGAGCTAGAAAAATACAAAGTTGTAGCCAAAGTGGAGGCTTGAATTTAATATTACAAAATAGGTAGGTACAAAGGCTGGGGATGCAAAAGTAGGAGGGAGAATAAGGTCTCTGGAAATCAGGGATTCGAGGAACTGAGAGGGCGATAAAAGGATCTTTCATATGGATCCTAAGGTGACCCATGATGACGGCAGAACTAAGCCAGTATCTTCCGTGAATGAGAGGAATGGTCAGGAGGTTAAGTGGTTGACAGTATAGGAGAGAGATTAAGGAATATACAGCTAGACTGCAGGAGCCTTCAAGGAATACAAGCTTTTTATACAAGATGGGGGAATGTGGAAGTAACCCTGGAGATAAAGAATTAGATTCACTCAGGTATGTGATGTGATGATTCCAGGTCTATTTTATATATTACTTTAAAATATCTATTTGGGATTACCAAACTTCGTGACGACTGTCTCCTATTCATACTCTCTTCCTTCTTCTGGTGTGTGTGTGATAAAATATATATATATTTGGATTATTTATTTATCCAGCCAGCCAGTATTGGGGATTGAAGTCAGGGCCTTGTGCATGCTAGGTAAGTGCTCTACCACTGAGCTAAAAAAAACCCCAACCCCTTTTTGTTTTTAAATTTTGAGTCAGGGTTTTGCTAAATTGCCCATGCTGATGCAAATTTGGGATCCTCATGCCTGAGCCACTCCAGTTGCTAGGATTACAGGTGTGTACCACTGTGCCAGACTATATTTGGTAACTTTGTTTTTCTCCCTGTGGTACTTGGGATTGAATCCAGAGGTGCTTTACCATTGAGCTACAACCCCAGTCCTTTTTATTTTTTTATTTTGAGATAGTATCTCACTAAGTTGCTGGACCACTGAGTCCTGGAACTTAAGATTTTCCTGCCTCAGTCTCCCAAGTAGCTGGGATTATGGGCATGTGTCACCATACTTGGCCAATATTTAAATTTTTGAGGAACAGTCAGTTTGTATTGTTCTTGACTTCCACGAAGCATCTGGCAGCAAGTATCCTGTCTTTCTTTTGGAAGCTATGTTTCTATTCTTCCATAGTAACAATATCTGGTACATCTTTTATCCTAACAATTTGTTTTTCTTTGGTTTGTTTCTCTTCTCCTCCTTGCCTCCATCTTTCAAAATTCCCCCAAGGTTCTGGCCTCTACTCTTCACTTTATATTCCAACATTCTTACTCTACTATAATTTTCTATTATGAAATTACCACTCCAGTCAGATGACTTCCAATGCCACCTGCTAAATGCTTTCTTATTTAACCTAGACTGCCCTTGCTTTTCCTGTCTGCTATATAGATCCTAGTTATCTTTTGGGGCCAACTTCAAACACAAACACAATTACATATGAAAGTTCTTCACTGACTCCCTCTACTCTCCACCCCACCACCCCCATGCAAGATTTCTTCTCCAAACACTTAGATTTTACAGCCCATAGCAATAATCAAAATCACATATTCATATTTAGCTTTTTTTGTGTTTATGTCTGATCTCCTCCCTCTACCCAGCCAATCTCTTGGTCACTTAAAAAGTTGCTTGACAACATTTTCAAGTTGCTTGAAAAGATAAAAAAAAAAATAAATTTACCTTCCCAATAGCAACTACTATAGTTTCTTGTATATTCTTCTAAGTACACCCTATGGATATTCACATATTTTTTCTTTCACAAATGGCATCATGTTTATAAATATATGTATATTTTTCCTTTTCCTCCTCATACTTTAATTAGTCTTTAAAGTGGAACTTCTCTAATGTTTTCAAAAGCATATCAGTATATCCACTGATTATACTTTGCTTACATGTTTTTCTCTTCAAAGGACCAGAGATTAATAAGGAGTGATTTCTTTAGAGAAATCAGACTACTTTTTATCTCATTTAGCTCCATTTGCTAATGTGATCAATTAAATGTGTTTACACAAATTAAACTTTCTCATTGTAAAAATTCAGAATTAACAAATTAAAAATCTTTGATATGTGTACCTTCAGAATTTTAAAAAGCAATTTTATAAATAAAAACATATCTCTAGAAATATTTAGAATTGTTTTTAATTTTTTTAAAACACAAATAAATTAACAAGTATCATAATGTAAATACTGTTTTGTAGCCTGTTTTTTTCCATGCAACTGTATACTGAAGAATCTGACCCTATTTATATACACAGATGTAACTCATTTTTCATGATTGTTGTGTAGTTTGCTTAGCTATTTCTTACTATTAGGGTGTTCAGAAGTTTTTGCTACACACTGTTATAATGAACATCTTTGCACATGTCATTTTATGTACAAGTGTGATGAGAAACATCTACTGTTTCCCAAAAGTAGGTGCTAAGGAGGATGTGGTAGCATATACCTGTAATCCCAGCAACTTGGGAAGCTGAGGCAGGAGGCCCACCCTGGGCAACTTAGTGAGACTCTGTCTCAAAATTCTAAAAAGAGCTAGGGATATAACTCAGTGGTAGAACATTTACCTGGCACGTGCTAGGTCCTGGGTGCAATCTCCATAACTGCAAAAAGACAAAAGAGAATAGATGGTAAGAAGTTGAATTGTGGGCTGGAGCTGTAGCTCAGTGGCAGAGCGCTTGCCTGGCATGCGTGAGGCATTGAGTTTGATCCTCAGCACCACATAAAAATAAATAAAATAAAGGGCTGTCCATCTACAACTACCAAAAAAAAAACACAACAAAATACGATGAAGAAGTAGTAGTAGTAGTAGTAGTAGTAGTAGTAGTAGTAGTTGTGGAATCCTGTGTCAAAAAAAAGTTTGTAAGTATAAACTGTACATGGTGGTGCATACCTCTAATCCCAGCTCTGTGGGAGTCTAAGGCAGGAGGATCCCAAATTTGAGGACAACCTCAGCACCTTAGTCAGACCCTGCCTCAAAATGAAAAAAAATTTAAAAGATTTGTGGGTGTAGCTTAGTGGTAGAGTACTCCTGTATTCAATCCCACTACTGAAAAAAAAAAGTATAATAAATACAATTAAATTGACCTTTGCCAATTCTGTGGTATAACTGTTATAAGTTAATAATAGTAACACAATGTGACCTTTAATTTTGGTTTCCTTTAAAACCATAGGACATCCTATTGACTCAGAAGTACACTACAAAGTACACTAGAATAGCAATTAATAGATTCAAGTCCTGGTTCTGTCCTTAACTAATAATAATTGATCTTAGGCAATCCTATCAATATCTAAGCCCCAGTTTCTGAACCTAAAAATGTGGTATGGGTAGCATGGAAGATACTTTAATTTTTTTTTTTTTTAGTTGTCCATGGACCTTTATTTTATTTATTTATATGTGGTGCTGAGAATCAAACCCAGCGCCTCACACATGTAAGGCAAGTGCTTTACCACAGAGCTACCACCCCAGCCCCACTTTAATTTTTATTGATTTTATTTTAATGATTAGTTGTAATTTAAAATAAATCAGGAAGCTATAATTACCAAATCTAATTAAAGATTTATGGATATTATTTCCATTAATATAAAATTTACTTTTTAAAAAATTGTAGATAGATACATAATATTTTTTTTTAAAGAGAGAGTGAGAGAGGAGAGAGAGAGAGAGAGAATTTTTTTTTAATATTTATTTTTTAGTTCTCAGCAGACACAACATCTTTGTTGGTATGTGGTGCTGAGGATCGAACCCCGGCCGCACGCATGCCAGGCAAACGCGCTACCGCTTGAGCCACATCCCCAGCCCCAGATACATAATATTTATTTATTTTTATGTGGTGCTGAGGATCAAACCCAGTGCCTCACACATACCTGGCAAGTGCTTTATCACTGAGCTACAGCCCCAGCCCTAATATTTACTTTTAAAAAATTCATTTAAGTTAAAGAAAAATTCATCAGCTGGGTTAGTATTGTGATGCATGCTTGTAATCTTCACCTTGGGAGGCTGAGGCAGGAGGATCACAAGTTCAAAGCCGGCCTCAGCAAATTAGTGAGGCCTGAAGCAACTCAGTGAGACCTTATCTCTAAATAAAATATAAAAAAGGGCCGAGGATGTGGCTCAGTGGTTGAGTGCTCAATGTGGGGTTCTTGACTTTTCACTGTGTTAAGGATATTAAGAACCACAAAACCCTGACACACATACTCATCATCATTACTTCATAAAAAGATATTTTAAATGTTTTATAATTATAAAACATGTAAATATAGTCTGAAAAATTTTTCAAATTGTATAGGAAATATTAAAAAGCCATTTTCAGCCAGGTATGGTGGCACAGCTACTCAAGAGACTGAGGGAGGAGGATCACAAGTTGCAGGCCAGATCCTGTCTCAAAATAAAAGAACTGGTGATGTACCTCAATGGTAGAATGCCCCTGGGTTCAAATCCCTCTATTGCAATAAGTAAATAAACAAAAATTTTAAAGCCATTCTCTTGCTCTCTCTCTAAAATCCACTCATGGACCTTCTTCCATATAGATCTATCTTACTTTTACAAAGGACATTTTTAGCATTATAAAAGTTTGGGTGCATATGTAATTGTTAATTTATAAATATGTGTGTACATATATATAATACCTATATGATATGCAGAATATGTAACATAAAAATATATGTACATGTATTTATTTTAAGCTAAATGTAGTATGTTACATATTTATCCTACATGAAATTATATAGAAGAAATAAAAAATTTCAGAATAAAGGATAGGCTTTTTGGGAAAGGACAAGTGGCAACCAATGATTTAGATGACTCCCCATTTCTTTAATTCCATGATTGAGTCTAAAATATCCTGAGCATTTACATGCCTTTCATTATTATCAGTAACATATTTGGAAAATCATAGATTACAGTGTTTTTAATACTTTAATCTACATGTTGTATGAGCACAATTCCGTGCATTTTTACTTATTAGTTTCCTATATCAATTTTAACCTGAGGTCACAGACTTCAGGGTATTCATAACATCATGAACATATATATGATGTTACATATATATATATTTTTTTTTCTGGGGAAAAATAATTTCTAATCCAAATAAATTTCTTGAGTTTTCTTTACATAATAATATTATTGGTTGGGCAGTCCCCTCAATGTTTTTCCTTTTTTTCCCTTTTGTATGTGTGCAGGGGAGCATCTAATTTCTGGTTTGCATTTGATAGCTACATATCTGAATTCCTTGTTCTCACCTTAACAAGTCTAATTTTTTTAAAAAAGTCTCTATCCATTAATCATAGGGATTTGATTACTTAATTTTTTTTTAGTTGTACATGGACAACTATTTATTTTTATGTGGTGCTGAAGATCGAACCCAGTGCCTCACACACGCAAGGCAAGCACTTTACCCACTGAGCTACATCCCCAGCCCTGGATTTAATTTAAAAAATCTTTTTTTGGTACCAGGCATTGAACCCAAGGGTTTTTAACCATTAAGCCATATCCACAGCCTTCTCTATTTTAAGACAGGGTCTCACTAAGTTGGTGAGGATGGCTTTGAACCTGTAATCCTCCTGCCGCAGCCTTCTGAGCCACTGGTATTACAGGTGTGTGCCAACATACCCAGCTAAAAAAAAGTCAGTCTTTTTTTTTTTTTTAAAGTACAGAAAGACAGAAAAAGGCAGAGAGTGATGCCTACATTGAAACTGACAGGCAGGGAGACAAGCAGCTAGAGTCAGTAGGATATACAGGCATAGATAAAAGGCCTAATAAGCATAGACATGTGAAAGAAGTATAGAGAAACTTGGAAACACAGAAGGAAAGACAGAATAACTGACCAGGTATAGAAGAAGGATAGCAGAAAAACAGGTTGACAGAAAAAAATGACCACAGTGAGGAAGGCAAGATCACCAAGGGAAACACTTGTCCCAAAGGACAAGTGAACAGAAAGGAGAAGAGAGAGAGAAGAAAGACACACCGATGAAGAAAACTATAAGGTAAGAAGGAAGACAAAGTGATAATAGTGTTTTATACAACAGAGTGCCTTATAATTATTTCAGGCAGACAGGGAGAATYCAGCAGACAGATGGGGTGATGGAGAGATATATGTCAATCACACAGAAGAGAGGAGAGGTAGCCAATCAGAAGGAAAAGCTAGAATGAAGACCAAGACAGATACAAGGAAAGAATAAACAAACAAACAAATAAAAGAGAAGGGGTGGGGGGGGAGAAAGAAGAGCAACACAGAGATAAGAGGCTAAAACAGTTGAATTCAGGAATATTCAGTAAATAAGCAGAAATGAAAGAACAGTATATCCTGTAAAGTCTTATCATCTTTCTCAAAGAGACCTAGTTAGAAGCTGAGTCTTTGTCTCCCTGCTAAAGAGTTATAATGTTTCTAAGGCAGCATGGAAGAAGATCCAGAAGGAAGGATGAAAAAGGAGAAATTTTAATAAGGAGCAAAGCTGTTGAGATGAGGAGAAAGAAACTTCTGGAATAGGCCCAAGTCAACCACCTAAAAGGAGCTGGCACATGCCTGTAATCTGAGATACTCTGGAGGCTGAGGCAGGAGGATCACAAGTTTGAGGCTAGCCTGGACAACTTGATGAGACCCTTTATCAAAATAGAAGTAAAAAGGCCTGGAGATGTGGCTCAGTGGTAAAGATCCCCTGGGTTCAATCCCCAGTACCAAAGCAAAACAGTACAAAACTCTCAAAGGATCTAGATTCGTATGACTTCATAGAATTCATATAGATAAAAAGGAAAGATAGAGCAGGCCACTTGTCTATTTGTGTGTAAGCACAGCTTACAAACTATCTGTACTTATTAATTGTACTATTATTTATCTGGTAGTTTTTAGTATATTCATTTAATGCATTCATGTCTTTCTTTTCTCAATTAATACATACTTCAGCAATGAAGAGACCAAGAGTGTGTTTCCAGACAATTATGTAGAGTAGAATAGGAGATCAGGAGAGAACAAGACCTTTCTAAGAATTCCTTTGGTACTGGTAGTAAAAGCAGGTAATTAGCAACAGTCAATCAAAAACAGAAGTTCCATAAAGTAGAATCAGAAAGACAAGAGGCAAGAGGTGGCAAGTCACGTAAAGTTAGGAAGCAGTATCCAGCAAAACTGGAAAAAAAAAACATAAAGAGTACAGCAAAACCAAGTAGACTTGTGTATGTATAGATTCTTCTCTCAGGCATTATCCAAGAAATGTGACATAGTGGCTGCCTCTTGGGAGAGGAAATCATGGCCAGGGAGAGAATAAATGGAAGGCTTACTTTGCACACTGCTAGTTATATACTTTTACATTTTTATACCACAGTTATGTCTATTCAAAAGTTAATTGAGGCTCGGCACAATAGCATAAATCAGTAATCCCAGCAATTCAGGAGACTGAGACCAGAATATTTCAAGTTCGAGGCCAGGCTGGGCCACTTAATGAGACCCTGTTTCAAAAAATAAAATGTATTGCGGATATAGTCCAGTGATAGAGTGCTTGCCTAGCACATGCATGCCCTTCATTCAATCCCGAACACCACACACACATACACACACAAGCTGATTGGGGAAGAGGGGACTAAAACAAAAAAAGAAAGAAAAGCAAGCAGGGATGTGGACATAAAGAAAGAGCCTATCAAACAGACAGTAAAAAGGCAGGAAAATAGAGACTAGGGGAATGGCAAAAAGACTGAGGTAGGCAGCCTGTCTAGGAAGCAGAAAGAAAAAGACATGACTGAAATGGAAGCAAGTGTGAGAGAAGACAGGGTAGGGGATATGATACAAAAGCAGGTAAGACTTTGGAGGAAGGGGTTACTGAAAAGTCTGGAGAGAGAGACCATCCCCCTTCATGGGATGTTGGCAGAAAGCAAGTCAAGGGAGAAAGAGATGATAAACAGAAAAAGGGAAAAGATACAGGCTTTATAAGCAGTAAGAGAACAGAGAGCAAGTAGGGAAGACAGGCAAGAAGACAGAACTAATGGGAAGCAAGGAAAAATGATGAAAAGAGATAAATAGGAACAAGGAGAAGGGCAAGATAAGAGGCAAACCAAGATGGGGATGGCCATAGCAGGACCTGGAAGTAGACAAACCAAGAGATGCAGGCTAAAAAAAGTGATAGAGACAGGCAGGCGGGGAGACAGATGGCTAGAGAGAGAGTGGTGGGCAAACAGCCAGAGAAGCAGACAGACAACCAGAGAGAGAAAAAGGCTGCCAGCCAGTCAGGAAGGAGCAGACAGGCAGGCAGGCAGACACCATAACAAGAGCAAGCAGGTAAAGAGGCAGGCAGAAACAAGGATAGAAGACGACAAATCAAGAGGTCAGCAAGGAGGAAAAAAAGATCAGGAAAGAGATGCAGACAGGCAGAGGGGCAGATGGACAAGGAGAGAATCAGGAAGATTAAAAAATCTGTATATAAAGCACACTCAAGAGAAAAAATGATGAAGGCCTGCATAGGGATGCACATGGCCACCTTTAGCCACCCACACCTGCAGATCATGCCACATGTGGCAGGCGGGCAAAGAGATTCAGCATAGAGTGAGAGGACCCAAGGCAGAGAGACTTGTGGAGCACCACATGATGCATAGTGTACCCCCACCAACACACACACACACACACATGGAGACACTTTTTCTAGACCTTGGTTTGATCCACAGACATACAGAGGGGACCAGAAAGGGGGAGACAGGCACAAACAAGAAGAGCCATACACAGAGATGACCCAGGAAGACAGAAGAAAACAGAGGACAGAGATGGAAAGTCACTTGCAGGTGATGGAGACTGAGAGTCAAAGGCAAGACAGACAGTATTAGCAAACAATAAAGATGCACACATAGAAAAGCCATACTCAGAAAAAAGGAGATACCCAGATGAACTAGTACAGAGACTCAGAGAGTGGACAAGAGAGCTAAATTGAATGGAAGAGGAATGATTTGGGAGCATAGGAAAGAGAGTTTCACAATTCAAATTATTAGGGAAAAAAGGGGGAACCAATGTTCAATAAGGTACAGTAGTAGGAGGGGGGTAGGATATCAACAATTAACATTTTAGTTTAGCCTTATAAACAAAAATTTATATTGTATTCCCTTGTCACTAATGCTTTTTTTTTTTTTTTGTCACTAATGCTTTCTGACTGCTGTGCTCTTGAGCAGGGCTGGGGGCCAGCAATTATACTTCAGAGGTGAGAAATGGCCCGGGAAAGAGACTATTCTACTGGCCTGGGATGGGAAGCAAGGGAGGGGCAAAGTGAGATCAAAAGAATGGGAGAAAACTAGAGTAAGAAAAAGGTGAGGTACAAAAAGGGTAGAATTAAAGCTAATTCACCTCCTTCCTTTGCTCCATTCATTGGCAAGCTGTATTTTATGTCTAGACCTCTCTGATCAAATCTGTTTGAGAAAGCTACTTTTGGGACTCCTTTTCAACTGTCCATCTGATTCCTAATACCACATTTAAAATAAACACTAGGGTAGAGGAAACCAAGGGTTAGCAAGTTAGACAAAAATGCCTGAGTATAACCCCTACCTCAGTCCCAGTTACTTTTCTCTTTCCTGGTACCTCAGTTTCTTCTACTTTATCAGTGCTGGAGATCATGGAGGAAGGGAAATATACTGAAACAGGAGAAAAGAGAAAATAATTTCACAATCTTCAGACTTTATCTCTCCCCTTTATTCTAAAAATCTGTTCTATTTAACCCCAAATTAATTCCTCAATTAATTTTATATGCTAGCAACTTGGGGAGGGGAGGCTGAGGGAAAGGGAAAAAAAGTGAAGATAAAATTTACAACAATTATAAATCACTGAAAAGGCTGGGCAAAGGGGAGAATCAAACATGGACTCCTTTGAAAAAAAAAAAACTCAATCATCGTATCTATTCATATCTCTCCCCCAAAAGTCACTAGGATTTCTGTCACTTTTTTTAAAGAAATAAGAAAAATATTCAGTACCGCTTCTCATTTAAAAGATACGTACACAATTAAATGCATTTTGACTTCAATGAGGTATGTAGAAACAGAGTTATATATAAACATATATTTCATCTTTTTCCTTTTCAATGCCTGAAGGGGAAAAAAAAAACCTTCACGTCAAACCACTCCCTTCTGAAGTATTCAAAAAAAAAAAAAAGCTTTTCTTTAGAGAAGGGAGGTGGGGAGAAAGAGACTAGTAAAGAAAAGAAAAAAAATTCAATCTAGTTGGACTAGTATCTAACTAGTTAACCTTTAACAATTTATGCTGATGTCAGACTGAGCATGAGTACTGATTAATGCCCCCCCCAAATATTTTTTATAAGGGGGGGAGTTAGTCACAGCAGCCATTTTTGTTTTATGCAGAAATCCTTCATGCCCCCCCAACACACACACACACACACACACACACACACACACACTTCAGTACACAAGGAAAATATCTCTATTAATCTGTGCACTAATCAGTTATGAAAAAAGGAAGAAATTTGTGGGTTTCTGGGTAGAGGGTTGGAGATGGGGGTGTAACAGGGAGGAGAATGGGGGGGTGAAAAATGAAATATTAAGCCAGCCATTTTGTTTTAAAAGGGGATTTTTCCCCCTCTCTCTTTCTTTATGGAGGGGGTGGCGGTGCTGGAGGGGGGGTTGTTTTAAAAATAATTTCAAGGCGGCCATCTTAGTGCCTCAGCTCTGAGAAATATTTCTGAGCGCCCCCCTCAGAATTTAAATATATTTAAAGCAACGGAGAGGGGGGTAGAGAGAAGTCGAAAACTTTTATATATATATATATATATATATATATATAATTTTTTTTCTTTTTAAAAATCCCCTTTCTTGTTCTCTTGGGAGGAAAGAGAAGGGGGAAAAAAGTCTCTCCTCAAAATTTTCCAAGAACATTTTTTGGGGTGGTTCGGCCCCCCTCCTCAGACGGCGGCCCCGAGGGTGGGGGTTTTGGAGGGGGGTGGCCCGGGGGTTTGGGGGGCTGGGGGAGGCGGTGAAGAGGAGGACGCCGCCGCCGAGGAGGAGGAGGAGGAGGAGGAGGAGGAGGAGGTGGTAGCGGTGGGGGAGGCGGGCGGGCGGTGGGTGGGGGGGTGGTGGGGGGGCCAGAGCCACAGGATGGCTTCCCCTCTGAGGGACGAGGAGGAGGAGGAGGAGGAGATGGTGGTGTCGGAGGAGGAAGAAGAGGAGGAAGAAGAGGGCGACGAAGAGGAGGAGGAGGTGGAGGCGGCCGACGAGGACGATGAGGAGGAGGACGACGAGGGAGTACTCGGGCGCGGGCCGGGCCACGACCGGGGCCGCGACCGCCACAGCCCCCCCGGTTGCCACCTCTTCCCGCCGCCGCCGCCGCCGCCACCGCTGCCTCCGCCGCCGCCGCCCCCGCCGCCAGGTAAGCGGCTGCCCCGACTCCCCCCCCCCCCAGCCCGAGTGGGAGCCGCGGGCGCGCGAAGCCGGGCGGGGGGCCGGGCACCCACCGCGCGGCCGAGCCGAGGAGAATCTGGGGCGCGGGCCACCGTCTAGGGCCGGCGCTCTGCAGCGGTCCTGGCGGTCCCGGCGGTCCGGGCGGCGGCGGCCGCGGGGCCGGGCCTCCTCCCCTCCCCCGCCGCAACCCTCCCCCGCCGCCGCCGCCGCCGCTGCTGCCGCCCGGGCTGGAGAGCGCTGGGCGCGAGCTGCGCGCGCGGACCGGGCCACTCGGTCGCGGCTTTCGGGGGAGGAGGAGGAGGAGATTTTTTTTTTTACCCTCGGCGGGGAGGGGGTAGGCAGGAAACGGCCGAGGCGAAGCCAGGGCCCCCTCCCTGGCCGAGCGAGGGACCGCGGAGACCCTGGCGGCCGGACGGCTGCGTGGGGGGAGGGGCGCGTGGGGGAGGGGCGGCCGAACGAGCGCCCCTCGGGCTGCGACCCCGGTGGGGTTGCACCGAGGCAGGGTGAGGTTTCTATGTGTGGTGTGGAGCAAACCCCCCACCCCACTCCACTCGGTACTTGGGCCGGCAGAAAGATGACAGTGTCCATCGGACCCCTTTCCACCTGCGGGGACTTCGGTGCCCTCCAGCTCTGGGGCGTGTGGTGGCACGCGGGGAAGGGGTCGCGTACATGTGGGCGGCTGATGACTCGAGGCAGGTAGCGGCAACACTCCACTCAGACCACTTCCTGGAGTTAGACTTGAGCTACCCCCCACTTCCCCAGCTGGGGGATCGTGAGAGTCATTTAAGATTGGGGGACAAGGGGAAAGTGGGGAGCCAGATGTCCCCGGCCCCACCCCCTTCATCTCTCTTTTGCTTCGGGCTCTTTTGTGTCAAGTGCGGCCCCCTCTCCCCCTCTCCTGTCAGTCTGGGCTGGCCGAACTGCCCAGCTGTGACTCTCACGTGGCTGCCATTCACTGTCACTCACTCTTTGGCCGAAACTACCCACACCCTGACCATGCTGGGGGGGCGTAACCTGCCCACCCAGCTGGTCTGCAGCTTGACCATCACTCAGCACCCCTCTCCCTGAATGACAAGTCACCCGGCGCTCTGGGCGGCACTCTCCGGGAGTGATGGAGATAGACTGCTGCCTGGCATCAGGAGCCCAGCAGTGGCTCCCTTCAGACCACCCTCCTCGTGGAGGGATTTTGGGGCTTCCTTGGGATAGGTGAGCCTTATGGTGTCTGCACCCGCTGCTTGGGGACTGCAGAGCAGTACAGATGCTCCAGACTTCAAAACGTCTACCATCATGCTCTTTGTAAAACTGTCATATTGATCCGTGTGGCTTATGTGGCACATGTTCTTATCTAGTTGAGGCAACCTTTGAGGAGGCAATGAGGGAGTGCTTTCTTGTGTGGGTGGGTGGGGGTGTGTGTTTAATGGAGACTGGTTAAAGTCTCCCTGTGCCCCCAGGCTTGTCTATATTATAAAGGGAAAAGTTTTTAAAAAGTTATCCCAGAGAGCCAGCCGGCAGAATTCACAGGAGGAAAAAGAAATAAAAGAGTCGTGGGGAAAGGGTTGCCTGTAGGGTTGCCTCCAGCAAGGTGCCGAAAGAGGGAAAGAAAGGATGTCAGGTGAGTTAGGGGAATAGCAGCCCTCACCTATTTTGTATTCTGAACTTGGAATCTGGTATTTGGGTGTTTTTGATCCCGGATCTGGGTTTGAGAGAGAGGGGCGCATGAAAGAATCTAAGGTTGAGATGGGTCTTTGTGTCCTACTCCCTCCCCTTTTCCCTCTTTGCTTTCTGAATCGTGAAGAAACGTCAGACGCTTTTAAAGTGTTACATCTAAAGTGAAATTCCACCTCTCCTCTCTCCCTGGGCAATGCTATCTCCCTTTCAGCCCTCCGAGTCAAATGAGTGACCCAGATACACCCCCTCAGATGACTTTCTGAGGTAAAACTTTGGGAAAATATTTTTAGCCTGTTCATTATCTCTGTCTACCTAAGTGTGGGGAGAATAAGCCTCCTCAGAGGAGATCTGCTCAGGCTGCCCTCCCTCATCCTTTTCTGGAACATGAATTTGTACATCTGAGAGCTTTCCATTGTTTTTCAGTCCGACTGCTTTGATTCTCACCATTTTGTTTTACATTCTTACTCAAGACCAATTTTATCCCTTCCCCCTCGCTCCAGTCTCCTTACATTGTTAAACGTTTAAAATAATAGCACTCGTGTTGGTGGGGGAAGGGAGCAGGAAGCCAAAAAAACTCATTTCTTCTCCCTCCCCCTTCTGGCAAGTCTAGAGAAATAATATAACATAATATATAGATGTGATTCCTTGAGGTGGGGGTGGGGAATGATTGTGGGTGGTGCGGAAAATTCTGGTAGTTTCTTTGCAAAAGGTCTGAAAATACAAACCCACCCCCTGCGTGCAGTACGCATGTGCAGCAGACCTATTATGGAGGTTCGTTGTGGGGGAGGGAGGGGAATTTGAGAAAAAATAAATATATGTGTGAGAGATTGATGGTGAGATTAGGAGAGAGGGGCGGGTGGGAGGCGAGGCTTTCGCGCAGGCTCCTCCCCCGGGCTTGAGCAGCCAGGCTCCACCCTCCCTCCCCGCCTTCCCGAGATCTGAGCTGGGATGTGGGAGAGTCTGGGCTCCAGGCCAGCTTTGAGTGGCTGCTGAGACAGAGGTTAGGACTTAGATTTGCTTTATTACCCTCCCTTGCCTCCCCTCGCCCGTTCTCCTTTGCCTTCCCCGCCGCGGACGTCCGTCCAAGTTCGGGAACCTCCTGCTGCGCGCGGGGGGGGGTGTAGTGGAGTTCACAGGCAGTGCGGGGGGGCCCCCACCCCCAGCCGGGAGTGACCCAGGCCACTTTCCTGATCCTTCGCCAGTTGGCCTGCCCTTGCCACTGCCCCGGCAGCCTCCGTTTCCATGTTCGTGTTAACCCAAGTCCCTGGGGTTCAGGGGAGCCTGGCGTCCTCCTGACTTCCTACTACAGTTCCCTCCCCATCCCCCACCTCGGTTTTCACACCCTGGTCCTAGGCAGGCAGCCCCCTTTCACATCCATAGCCAGTGCTAGAGTGTCCTGGTTCAGCGCAAGAGGACACAGGTTGCCAGAGTTAGGAGAAAAAGTAGTGTGAAAGGAGGGAGGTGCCAGGAATTTGAGGGAATGGAAACCCAGGCCTCTGGTTGTTAATTGTGGCTAATTTTCCTTGCTGTTGAGGGAAAGAGGATTGTGTGTCCTAGAGCAAGGGTCTGGGCCAAACCCAGGCTTTCCCCTCCTGCAGCAGCTGCCTCTGCCTGGACAAGACAGGTCTGGCTGGTTAGTCTAGTGCTTAGGTGCCAGAGGCTAACAGGGGCCCAGTCTGTGTGGCATCAGTTTGTATGGCACATGGTCTTCCTGTTTAGGAGCAACACTGGCTCCCAAGCCTCAGCAGACTGGCAGGGGTCATGGAGTATGGGGTGGAGGAGGCATCAGAGAAGAACCTGCCCAGGGCCACTTGACAGAGGCTTCTGGTGAGAGAGTCAGGGATCTTGCCCTGCAGAAGCAGGTACATGGTGACTCCTGGATTTGTGCCCGTGAGTGTGTGTACATTGGAGAACACAAATGCTGGGCATCTCTGTCTACCTATATCTTTGTTTCATTTGGACTCCTAGGTTGTCTGTATAGTGATGGATCAGGATGTCTGGAACAAAGAATAGAGGGGAAGAGTAAAATCAGGGGATAAAGGGTGCAGCCCCTGGGTTCTCAAAGGGAGCAAGAGTATGGGAATAGATTTGGAAGCAGATTTCAAGTTAGTAGGGAGGAGGTATATCATTAAGGGAATTCTGGAGATTTCCTCCTCTCTGGTTAGAATGCAGGCAGACACTATGATCCTGTGGGCAAGAAATGAAAATGACTGGCTGAGGATTTCTTTTCCTCTAGGACTATGTTGGGGTGACAAGATGCCGGTGATTATCCCAGGAAATGTAAATAGAGGCCTCCCTCTTGGCAAAAAGCATGTCAGCCCCCAGGGTGTTAGTGTGAGAACCCAGGTGTCCACCTTTGGCTCTCCCTTCTCAGCATCTGGCTTAGGGAGCTGCCAGCTTGTGTCTCCCCACTCCAAGTGCTGGGGTCAGGCCAGGCCAGCAGCTGGGCATGGCTTCCCCCAGTTCCTGGGCAGGGTGCCAGCTGGCGAAGTGAGGGGAAGGCAGGAGGAGTCCTGGCGGCGACTGAAAGGACCTGCCACAGTCAGAGCCCGTGGCCTGGAGCCTGGTCCCTTGTTAGTAGGAGGGGAGAGAAAGGAGTGGTTTGGCGTTCTTCCTTTCTGACCCCTGACCTCCCATTCAGAACCAGAGCATCCCAGAGTACTCAACACATTCTGTTTGCATCCAGTGAAAGGCAGCAAGGTTTGGAGGAGTTAATGCCCAGTTCCTAGAGAGTGGGACTGAGGCAGTGGGCAAGGGGGTGTGGAAGGGCCTTAGAGATTAGGAACCTAGAGGCTTATGTTTTCTGATGTTCTCTGCTCCAAAGATAAGGATGACATTCGGCTGCTGCCTTCAGCATTGAGTGTGAAGAAGAGAAAGCGAGGACCCAAGAAACAGAAGGAAAACAAGCCAGGCAAACCCCGCAAACGCAAGAAACTTGTAAGTGACAGGGATTCCTAATTTTGTGGCAAGCCTCAGGGACCTTTCCCAGAGAATCACATTTTCTTTTTTCCTGATTATCCAGGTAGGGAGGTGTCCTGAAGTCAAGGAGGCTTGACCCCCCCCCTCACACTCCCCCACACCCCATTACTTTATATCTCTTGGATCTAGGACCCTAACCTCACTCTCTACAACCTGGTGAAGAGCCCGGTCATTGTTTGTGACTTGCCCTAACATCCAACAGAAGCAGTCTTGGAGGAAAACTGTATGAGTTCAGACCCCTCTGTCTTCCTGGGCAATTTATTTAGCTCTCTGTGCCTCAGTTTCTTCATCTGTAAAGTGGATAAATGAATCAGTTATTATACAATTGTTGTGAAGATGGAAATAAAATGTAATGTGCTAAGAACAGTTCTTGACACATTGTAAGGATGAATAAATGTTATTTTTATTTCTCTCTCTTTAGGACAGTGAGGAAGAATTTGGCTCAGAGCGAGATGAGTACCGGGAGAAGTCAGAGAGTGGGGGTAGTGAATATGGAACTGGACCAGGTC